TCTGCAGGACAGACTCATCTCCTTCACCCCTGAAGGGCTCGGCTTTCTACAGTGCCCCAAGGTTGAGGGCAAAGAGCACGGACAGTGGGGCACTGCCACTCCTGACTCCGATGCCCTAGGCTCATAGCCTGACCTCTCTGAGCCTCCAGCCTCATCTATAGGAAGGCGTGCCCACCCTGCAGGAGGGTTGTGAGAGTCACATGAGCTGATGGACATAATGCCTGGAAAAGGCCTGGCAGATGGGTGCTGGCAAGGTCTTTGTCTTTACCTAGGCAAGTGCAGTGTCGTCATCATGGAAAGAAGTTCCAGATCTGTCTCCACCGCCAGTGCAAATGGGATGAAAAACCAACTTGTGCATTTTATAAAACTTAAGTAGATTCTGAGGCATCTAAGTGAAGGTTCTTGGAGAGTTTGGGTATAGGACCAAAAGAGCCTCAGTTGCTGTTAAAATTTGAGGGTGTCTTGGTCTAATTAATCAGGAAGTGTCTAATTAGGTAGCTGAGGGAGGGCAAAGCATGATTTACTTGAATGTGATTAGATAGAACATTCTGATATGAAAGGAAATGCCAGAGGGTTTTGTTTTTTGTTTTTTGTTTTTAATTTACAATCCTTTTGTGATTTGGGAGGTAATTATGATAATTCCTGGCATTTTCATAGACTTAAAAGCTTTTTCACAGCCACATTATTTTGGAGATCATCTTCTCTGATTCTCCAGCTGGAAGGGATTGCTCAGTCTCCTGAAGCTCCAAAGGCATCATCTTCCAAAGCCTGACTCAAATGTCACCTCCTTGATGATGCTTTCCCCCATCCCTTATGCCGGAGATACCAAATAGATGTCATCTTGTATGCCAACACACTGATCTGTTGATTGTGGCTGCCTAGGTGTCCTCTTGAGGAAGGAGTGCGGCAGTTGACTAGTAATGTCTGCCAGGGGGCAGGCAGTGGGAGAGAGTAGCAGAACCTATGTTTTACCAGCCCTCTGTGATTGGGCATTCAGGTAGGTTCCAGCCATTTGGAGGTAAACTCCTGCTTTGAGCACCTGTGCAAGTAGAGGGGGCAGGATAACTCCCCGGCAGGGATTTGCCAAGCCACAGGTGAGTGATTTGAAAAGTGTGATAGATGCTGCCAGATGGCCTTGTGACTTAAGAAGTTTAAGTCTTTCTATTGTCTTCTCTCCAGCCCAAAGGTTGAAACCCAAATGGTGACTGATAAGGATTTACACGTTATTAACTCATGAGTTGTGCACCTGCCAAGGCCAACTTAGGAACCGTGTCTTCTACCAGCTGGGTGTTCCCCTTGGGCCTTTCAGAGAATCAAGGCTCCATTCCCAGTCCTCTGGCCCACGCTGGGCTCTGTTTGAAGCTGCATCAGCTGTGGTCACTGTACCTCCACCAGCATTTACTTTTGATTTGTCACTGTCATTCGTGTTGTCAAATGGCACCTCCTCCTTAGCTGCCTTCAGATTAATTTTCAAGGAACTACAGCTGTTGAGAGTAGAAAGAAGCACGGTGGGCTTTTAAAGAGGCCCTGAGCATTGGTGGTGCCAGGATACAGTGAGTGCCTGGCCGTGATTTAGGGTGTGGATCTACATCGGCGGCTGCCTGGCATGTGCCAAGGCCAATTAGAGAAGTGACTCCTGAGTGTTATCTCTGGGGGCAGCCTTGCCTGACACTCTGTCTTCCTTCCAAGTCCTCCTCTCTCCTTGAGCTCTAATATAATTTGTCTGACCTCTAGGATGTGAACCCATGGCTTTCCTGCCCCCCAGCACCTCGAGCAAAGCTTAGCAGGTAGTTAGCAACTCTGTCGGTGACGTTCCCGCTTTAGGGACAGTGGGTCTCTCTCCACAGCTGTCTGAGCTCCTTGTTATGGCACATGTGGTCCTTTTCCATCTGGCTTCTGGAGGCCTGCCTGTCCTCCTCCTCCTCCTCCTCCATGTCCCTTTTATGTGATCGCCCATCACATAAAACCCGCTCTCGTTCACTGAGCGTTTGCCGTGCCCAGACACAGTGCTCAGCCTGCTAAGCATGGCGGCTCATTTCATCCACACAGTGGCCTGTATGGTTTTTAATCCCCGTCTTGTAGGTGAATGGCCTCAGGCTCATAGAGGTTAAGTGACTTGCACCAGAGCACACTGTTGGTAGGTGATCAAGCCCAGGCCTGTCTTACACCAGAGTCTGAGCCCTTAACCACCTCTCTCTCAACTGCCTCCCTGCCAACCTCTGGGCCTTTGCACCTGCAGTTTCCTCTGCTAGATGTGCCTTTCTCCTCTTTGTCTACAGGGTGACCTCCTAGAGCTTGGCATGTTTATGGAACATAGAAGACGCGTGGGGCTGAGTGACATTAGTGAGACGCCAAGAGGAAGGAGGCAGAAGATGGTGTTAGAGAGAGAGAGGCTGGCACCATATCTTGAAGGCAGTTGGATTTTATCCTTAGGGCAGTGGGAAGCATTGAAGGTTTTAAACAGCAGGTGACAGTGTCAGTTGTTGCTTTGGGAAGATCACTTGGCCTGCTTGGCGGAGGATGGATTGGAGGGCGCCTGTTCTCTATCCTATCCCCTGCGGTTCTCTGTGGCTCTTGAAAATAAGGAATGAAGGTCAGATGAGACCTGTTAGTGCCCCCAGAGCCTGATAGAAATTCCAGTAGGCGGTGGTTGTGCAGCTGCTTTTATTGTTATAACAATGGGAACTATTTGTGATCTCAGATTTCTCTTCTGAGGTTCTCTCTGAGTCTCGAGTTCATTTTTAGTTATACTCGAGTTTGGAACGAGTTATTCGAGGAACAGTAAGCTCAGTGTGATTTATGTAAGATGGAAGCTGTTTATATCAATGGCTGTATATAGGGATCTATAATATAAAAATTCAGAATTTTAGAGCTTAATAACAGTGAACATTGCAGTTTTAATGGCTTCTGGAAATTATTTCATCAAATTTTGCCTCCTCAGTTCCATCAGATTTTCTTTCCAATTCCCTAGTGAAATGAAAGCTTTGTCTGACGTGGTCAAGTCACTCCTCTGGCTGCAGAAGAGAACCAGGGTTTGACAGCTCACGATAAACACCACTTGAAGCTGGGATGTTTTGATGTTTTATGCATTTTTGGAAAATTATTTTAACACTCTGGCTTCCACTGGAAAACAAAATAAAAACAAAACAAAGCAAAAGCCTGTTTTGCTTTGGAAATGACAGTGGCATTTATTTAGAGCTGTGATTTTGTGGGGGCACATTAGCAGGTATTTAGCAGTAATATTGGTAGGGGTGTGTTTCCTGCCTACTGTGTGGTCACTGGATTCTCGGCCCTGCGGGAGCTCACGGACGGTGTGTGTGTTACCATGTGGAGGATCCGCACAGGCATTGTTAGCGATAATGTATTTGTTTGTGAAAGGCCAAAAGAAGATCATCTTAAGCTTTTTTTAATACAAAAGGAATAGGCAACTGGGGAATACTACTTTTTGGGAATTATGAGCAGTCAAGAAAGCTGGTTAAGAGGCCCAGTGACTTATTCTCCCGTTGTTAATCACATGGTTCATGCAGTGTCTTTTGTGCCATTTTCACTTTGCATTTCACATTGGTTTGAAAGAGGTGGGCACCTGAGGGACAGAGGGGGTGCCATGTGAACGGGGATTCACAGCGCAAGTTAATGGAAACATTGGGATTACAATTGGGAGCCTGATAAATGTCGTTGATTGCACTAGTTTCAGGTGAAGAATTTTAATTCTTTTAAAGAGTCTAAGTAGTTATTCTGGCTGATAAAGAGTGCTCATTATTAGGAAACTAAAAAGTAAGGAAAAGTAGAAAGAATGGACTTTGACTAATGTTAATATCTTGGTATATTTCCTTCTCTGTCTTTCACTCTTTATATAATGTATCCCAAAAAAAGGAGGCCTCCTCCTTATTCCTCCTGAGGCATTAAGACTCAGGTTAATGATCCTTTCTTTTCACAAAGCTTCTCCCTACATCCCTTCTTAATTCTGACAGTCCATTTTATATTTCACGTAAAGTACTTACGGAAAATGATCTGATATTATTTATGCATTATGTAGAACATAATAAGTGCCTTGACCATATAGGATATCTTTGTGCTTTTTTGGTAAGTTATAGCTGGAAAGCTCTCTTGTTCATTCTGTACATTAATCGTAGACTACCTCATGGCCACTTCCATTTTTATTTATTTGGGATCAGCCAAGAATATTGAATGGAAGTGGAAAAATTCGAGGGCTCACGGCAGGCCTGAGTGGATTGCCGCTGGGCACTGTGGAGTAGTAGCATTGTGGTATGTAGCCACAATGCTACTACTTAATAAATCCTACTACATAAATAAAATGCTACAAATTCTATCAAAGCCCCCTTTGTGTACTGGTCAAGAGCCGGGGCTCTGGAGTTAGTCCTGCGTTAGCTCTGTGACCTTGAGCCAGCCCCTTAAACTCCTGTGACATTGTTTCTCTTTCTGTAAGGCAAGAGAGCTAGTGTCATGAAGATACAAGGAGTGCAGAGAGGCATTTTCCTGGCATAGAGTAAGCAGTGACTGAAGGGTGGTTGTGTTGCTGCAGTTGTGTCTTGTCACCATCAGTGTCACCATCCTTGACAAGGCTCTGGTTCTCTTTTCTTGGTTTTCAGAACCAAGGCCCTGATGAACAGAAATGGTCAGTTATTCTAATTGTACCATTAGAGAAATTATTGATGGGCGTAACTCAGATTAGAAAGAAAACTTTCACTAGAAAATTGTTGATTAATTATGAATAAAAGCCTAAGGTCCAAAAATGACCTGATACAGTCATGTTCTGACCATAAACTGTGGACTGTTGATTCCACAGTGTTAAAATCAAGTCAAAAATGTATTCAACTCATGGGAGGATTTGCATAGCTTGTAGGTGATCAGTGTTATGTCTCTAGGCGGAACAACCTCCCAATGCCTCATTGATAAGTGGTGGGCCCCGAGGAGGTGGGGCACGTCGTTGGGGAGGCTGTGCCCTCTGAGCCTCACTGTGTGGCGCTTGTGTCTTCCAGGTGGCGGAGATGCACGGCGAGCTGATCGAGTTCAATGAGCGCCTGCACAGGGCCCTGGTGGCCAAGGAGGCCCTCGTGTCCCAGATGAGGCAGGAGCTCATCGACCTGCGGGGGCCGGTGAGTGCTCCTGGCCTTGCGCTTCTGCCCACTCTCTCACTCTCTCTGTCCATCCAGCCTCTGCAGCCCACAGCCCCACTGTTTACTTTGTTCCTTGTCAAGGGTATAGACAAGTACAGAGACTGAGAGAGAGCATCCATGTACCCACCATCCAGATTTTATGTACATTAACCTTCACCACATTTGCTTTTCTTTAGGTGGGACGGGGTAGAATAAATAAAATGCTACCAATTCTATCAAAGCCCCCTTTACAACACTTCATGCCCCCCCGAAATCGATACTCTGAAATTGGCATATAGCCTTCCCTCAATATTTTTATACTTTACCTCAGAGATAAATTCCCATGAGCAGTAAACAGTCTTGGTTTTGTGTAACTTTTACCCACATGGTATTACTTGTACATACCTCTTTGCCCTTGTTGCCCTTGTTTTTGTTTGTTTGTTTTTAATTCAATATTATGGTTTGAGGACTATCCTACATAGATCTAATATAGGGTTTTTAAACCATGGCACTTGATATTTTGGGCCATACACAGTCACACATCGCTTAATGATGGGCATACGTTCTGAGAAATGTGTTGTTAGGCAATTTTGTCATTGTGTGAACATCATAGTGTGTACTCACACAAACCTAGATGGTACAGCCTACTACACACTTAGGCTTTATGGGACCACCATCGTATGTGTGATCCGTCGTTGACAGAAAGGTCCTATGGGCCCATGGCTGTAATTCTGTGCATTATAGGATGTTGAGCAGCATCTCTGATGTCTACCCACTAGAGGCCAGTAGCACCCCACCCAGTCGTGACAACCACATGTCTCCAGACGTTGCCACCTGTCCCCTGGGAAGCACAGTCACCCTGGTTGACAGCCCTGATCTAGTTCATTCACTTTCTTGACTCTAGTTGTCTATTGAATGAAATGCTACAATATTTTAAGCTGGTCATGGCCTCATGGACATTTAGTTTGTTTCCAATATTTTGCTATTACAAACCGTGTTGCCATGAACATCTTGTCCTTTGTGCACATTTATAGTAGCTGCTTCTTTATTTTAAAACTTTTTTATGTCAAATATTAAATGACAAAAGCTCGGCAGATTAGTGTAACATATATATATATAAAAACATATATCTATTGTTAAGTTGAACTGTTACCAATCATTGTCAGTCTTGTTTCAAGTTACCCACACCCGCTTCCCCCTTCTGCACTGTTTTGAATCAAATACTGGGTATTATTTCATCTATAGACATTTCAGTAGATATGTCTAAAGAATAAAATATAATGTCATTGTCACCCCTCCATTACCAATAATTCCTTTATACCATCAAATATCAGTGTTCAAATTTCTTAGTCTCATAATTTTTTATGGTTTTTTTAATAATTTCATTTATTTTTTATAGCAATTTGTTCTTTTTTTTTTTTTTCGTGAGGAAGATCAGCCCTGAGCTAACATCTGCCAATCCTCCTCTTTTTGCCTGAGGAAGACTGGCCCTGGGCTAACCTCCATGCCCGTCTTCCTCCACTTTATATGGGACACCGCCACAGCATGGCTTGACAAGCAGTGCGTCAGTGCGCGCCTGGGATCCGAACCAGCGAACCCCAGCCTGCCGCAGCGGAGCGTGCGCACTTAACCACTTGCGCCACCAGGCCGGCCCCTAGTTTTTTTGAATTGAGATCCATATAAGGTCCATGTGTTGTAATTGGTTATGTCTCTTATGTTTCTTTTTTCTTATTAAAAAACTTGCTTTAAATTCTAGTAAAATATACATAACATAAAACTTACCATTTTCGCCATTTTTAAGTGTACAGTTTTGTGGCATTAAGAATGCATTAAGGTGGTGTGCAACCAGCACCACCATCCATCTCCTGAACTTTTTCATCTTCTCCAACTGAAATTCTGTACCCGTTAAACACTAACTCCCCCCAGCCCTGGAAACCACCGTTCTACTCTCTGTCTCTATGAATTTAACTACTCTCTTATGTTTCTTTTCACATAGAGTCCTACTTCATCTCTCTCTCTTACAATTTATTTATTGAAGACACTGGGTCGTTTGCCTTAATAGAGTTTTTCACCTCCTGAAATTCGCTGATTGCATCTCTGCAGTGCTGTTGGATGTGCTCCTCTGTTCTCTGTGTTTCCTTAAATTGGCATTTGGATCTAGAGGCTTGGATTCAGGTTTAATTTTGCTGATAACATGAGTCTATTGTTTCATGGTATTTTCTATCAGGAGATTTCTAGTGTCTGCTTGTCTCTCTTTTTGTGATATTAGTAGTCATTTATTATCACTTCCTGCATCCATTACACAAATATTTCCTTAAAGTCAACGCCTACGTGTGAAATTGCTGAGTTGTAGGGTGTGGTGTCTTCTTATAAACTCTTTACTGAGTTTTGCCTTATTATAAAGTAAAAGTACCTATTTATGATCCCTCTGTCAGAGTGCAAGAGTTTCTGCCAACACTTTGAGGTGTGAAGTGGTTCTAGCGTGCATTTCTCTGATCACAGGTGAGGTGGACCATCTTTTCGTTTGCCTGTTGCCCATTTTGGTTTCCAATTCTGTGACATGCTTCTTATAGTCTTTGCCCATTTTCTATTGGATTGGGTTTTTCTTACTGATTTGTAGTAGTTCCTAATATATCTTTTTCAGTTATATGTGTTGTAAATATCCTCTCCCAGCCTATGGTTTAATCACTTACTTTTAATAAAAGTAGAAAATTTCCAACATGTAAAGGCAAAGAGAATCATTTAAGGAAACCCCATCCACTCAGCTTTAACAATTATCAGCTCAGGGTCTTTCTTCCCGCGTTCATATTCAATTCAATCCCTTCCCAACTCAGGTTATTTGGCTGCATGTCCAAGCCATCACATTATTTCATTCAGAAATATTTAAATATTTATCACCAAAAGATATTCGCAGTACCATTATCATACCTAAAAAATTGTATTTCTTAAATCATCAAATGTCCAGTCAGTTTTTGATTTTCTCCAGTTATCGCAAATATTTTTTCAATTTATTTGCTCTAATTAGGATCATAATAAAGTACATATGTTACAGTTGGGAATGATAGGTCTCGTATGTTTCTTTTAATCTGTGTATTCTCCCTCCATATTTCTCTTTTTCCCCTTGTGTTTTGTTTATTATTGAAGAAGCTTGGCCCTTTGAGCAGGAGGTTTCCTGCTAGGAATTTTGCTGATTGCAACCCTGTGGTGATGCTCACCATGTTCCTCTGTCCTTTGCCTTTCCCTTGAATTGGTCATGAGCTCTGGAGGCTTGATGAGTTTCAGGATTGCTTTCTTTGACACAACGGCTTCACAGGTGGAAGCACAGGTGTGTACTTCCATCAGGAGGCTTGTGAACGTTGGTCTGGAAAAGCACTGTTGGATGTGCCCGTTCACACCAGACCGCATTTGTTTTTGTGAGGCCAGCGTGTGAATGTAACCTCCCATGTTTGAAGCCCTATAGCGCAGTCCCTGACTGACTTTGTTTCCCTGACTCCTGACAAGTCGAAGACTTTGTACACGTCTTTGTGAATTTCTTTAATTAGAGAGATACAGGGTTCCCTAAGAGGGGAAGCACCTATTCTGCACTACGAACCCTTGGAGGGAGCTTATTTCATCTCCATTTTATAGGTTGACTGAGGCTCAGAGAGGCCCCGAGACTTTCAGTGAGTATGTCTTGGAGCTGGATTCAAACTGAGATCGAATCACAATGTCTGCTTTCTTTCTCCATGCTGCACTAACTCTAGGGAGTTGGGGGGACCAGGTATGGGGGTGGATCCCTTGTGTAACCCACTGCCCGTCTGAGCTAGGTCCCAAGGGTCCCTTTGCAGTGGCCTTCCAGCCACGCCCCACATTAAAGACTTGGGCAGTATCTAGTGCGGCTCCTCCTTTCACCGCGTCTGTAGCCGTGTAGCTGAGAAAGGACAGGGGTTACAGGGATGGAGGAGTCCTGGTGCTGACCTCTGTTTCCCAGTGTGGGCGGGGCTGGTCTGGGGGACAGGCGAGTCTCTCCCCCATCCCTGCCCAGCTCCAAGGGTCCTGGCCGACTCCAAGGCCCACGTTACTGGAGAGGGACCTGATGGCAGGCGAGGACCAAGGAGTGGTCCTATTCCTTAGGATAGGTTCACTTTAAACCCTGTAGGAGTCCGTGTGTGTCTTTTATGCTGAAAGAAAGATAGGTGACTAATGTCACTGCAGATGCATTTTCAGAGAGCAACCTAGTGCATTATTCTCCTTGTGAATGATAGAAACAGTCAACTTACTAGTACAAATCAGTAACTCCTGCTTTTAATAGCTAATGTTTATTGAGTAACTGCTATCTGCCAAAAATTTGACTAAATACTTTTCAAGTATCAGTACTTCATTTAATCCTCACTAACCCTAGCAGTAATAACTGTTAGGATCCCCATTTTGCAGAAGAGGAGACTGAGGCATAGAAATAAAGTAACTCAGCCAGTGTCACATAATGCAAAGTGGCAGATTTGGGTCTGTCTGCCTTGGAAGATTAGATTTTTTTTTTTTTTAAACAATTGAAACTTATAAAATTTTTGGACTCTTAACAAACCTTGTTACACCCATGCTAAACAGTCAGATAGTATAAAAGGTATTCAATGAAAATAAATCTCCCTCCTATCTCTGGCCCCCTGGTTTTCCTGCCGGAGGCAATAACAATTACGAGTCTTGGGTTTGTCTTTCTAGAGATGAGCAATGCCTGAATAAGCCACATGCACACACCTACACATCTTAATAACTAGTAGCCTGCTGTAGTCACTGTTCTGGATATTACTATCCCCCTACTAAATAATATACTTTAGAGATCTTTTTATTGTACTTTACATGTAGATCTGCATCATTCTTTTAAAGAATTGCATTGTGTTCCCTTAATTGGCAATAACATAATTTTTAACCAGGCCCCGATTGATGGATATTGAGTTGTTTCCTTTTTTATTTTTACAACAACGTTGGCATAACATTCTTGTGAAATCCTACATTTAGATTAGAAG